ACAATTAGCACAACGATAAGGATGTTCAAGGGGACCAAAAGTTATTTCTATTTTTTTTGCCATATAATTAATATTTAACAACAACTGGTTTTGCTATATTTATTATTTTAGTTGTTTTTGGGGGGGATTTGGATTTGGGCTTGGAGGGAAGTTTCTTGTTGTTCTTCCTCCTCGGGGATTTCTACTAAGTCTACTGGGTTGGAAACTTTCAAATTCTGTAATCTTTGAGTAATTTCCCTAGTATCTATCATTTTGCTAGTCAATTGAGCAGTAGGATGGATTTGGTAGGGGGTAGATTTGGAGAATTGGTCGTATTGTTCTGCTAGGGCTTGGTATTGTTGAGAGAAGGGAGTACCCATTCTAATTGAATATTTACTAAGTCGTTTCTTAAAGCTTAACCAACTATCAATAACCCCATCCAATTTCTCAGCATTCGGTCTCTTTTCTGGGTCAGCATCCCAACATTTTTTAATTAAGTTTTTCAATAGTTGAGGGATAGGAATTTTATCTATATCAGGTCTATATCCTTGACAAACTTTTATTGCTAATTCTAAATCATCCATTTCAGAGTAAGGATAACTGTTAGCCAATAATTCATAAGCAATAATGCCAAAACCATAAATATCTGCTGCCTTGGTATATTTTTGACCTTGTAATACCTCAGGAGCTACATAAGGCAAAACTCCGAATATTTTACCTTCTTGTTTTTGGTAGTTAACAGGACAGGATAAGCCGAGGTCAGAAATAACACTACTGATACTACTGAAATCATGAGGAGCATTATTCAAAATATTCCCACTATGGAAATCTCTGTGGATTAGATTTTGTTTGTGAATAGTTTTTAATCCATCAGCAATATATAATAACTTTATAAGTTTATCTCTTAAATTTAATACAATTTCTTCACTATATTCATAAACCGTATTATGCCTATTTTGCAATCATTGTCTTAAATTACCCTCTTCCATATAATCCATCACCATCACATAATTCTTGGTCTCTGGGTCTTGGGAGATGCCATAGCAATTCACAACAGCACTCCTACCATCCTCGTAGACCACTAATTTAGTATTAGCAATTTCTTGTAAGAATTCTAGGGTGATGTTTTGGGAGTTATTGAGGGATTTGAGAACTACATTTTTATCTCTTCCCCTATATCCACTCCTATATATCTTACTAAATCCCCCATCAGCAAGATGCTCTATGTCTGTAAATTGTTTGTAGGGAATTCATTTTAATTTATTTCATTCTTTACCTAGTTTTTGTTGAATAAACTTCTCCACTAGTTCTTGCCCCTCTAATCCTGCCCATTCCTTTTCAGCACAAGGCTGACATCAATTTTCACTAGTATTAGGTTGTTGACATTGTTTACATCGGCCTCATCTAATTAGTTCTAATTGAGTGGCAATAGGACTATCCTCAGAATATTCAATCTTCTCTAAACTCCTGGGTAATTTATCTATGTTTACTTCATTAAAATTAGTTTTTTTAATATTAAGTTCTTTTAATTGCTGACAACTGCTTAGGAAGTTTAAGGAACCAGTTAGGGGATTTTCTCATAAATAAAGTTTTTTTAAACTATTAGGTAAAATTAAATTAGTAAGTTGATTACTATGACAAACTAATTCCTCTAAATTAACAAAATCACTTACATCTAAACTATCATTGAGGTTTTTATAAGAAAGTTTTAATTTGGTTATTTTTTTTCTTTGTTCTTGGGGATAAACTGCATCTAAATATTCTTGGGTTGGTTTGTTTTGTTTTAGTCAAGTATTGAATTCTTGTTTTAATTGTTCTCGATTTAAATCTGAACTATACTGATAACCTTTACCTCTTAAATAAGCAACAAATTCATATTCTCCTACCTCAAATCCAACTCCAATCCATTCCTTGGCATCTTGGTAAGTTAAGCCTTGTTGTTCTCATGATTGTTGGTAGGAAGCAAATCTCTCATGTATATCCACTCAACTATTTCTAATAATCTCAGCCCCCTCTGGTAAGTTTTTAAAAGTTAGTTTAGTGTCATCTACTTGGGTGGAGATGTAGATTTTTACACCTCATTTATAAGTAAAATCCCCCAAATCTAATTCCCCTTCTAAACTGGGTTCATTTAGATAGATTTTTTCTACTTCACTCCTATTTTCTTTTGGATACTTCCTATCCAACCATTCCTGTGCCTTCACCATAATATAGTAATTTTACATTTTTACAACCCAACCACTCAGCCAGTTCTGGTTTTATCACCTAAATTCAAATCCAAATTTCTTATTAGTGGAAAGTTTATCAAAAATAGGTTGGTCTACCATATTAGTTCTATAATCAATACCAATTATTTTTCTCTCATCAGTTTTTCATTGAACATTTGAATTACTCTTAAATCAAACTTGACCTTTTTCATTTCTTTTTGAATAACCACTACCAGCATTATTAGTTCATACCCTTACACTATTAAAAATGTTATTATTTCCTAGTTCCATAAGTTTATTATTTGTTAAGTATAAATAAACGACACCAACATTTCCATGTTGTTGAATAAACCTTTCAAAATTATTCATTTTCTCTACTTTTGTTGTTTGTGGGTCGTCCAAATTAGAAAAAAATCTATTACCAGCCAAGGAATTGGAACCAGAAGAAAAAGAAATGACATTCATTTCTCGGTATATCTTTAAATATTCCGACAATTCCTCCTTAGTTTTTGTGGCTAAGTCTAATTGGGTTTGTAAATTGGTTAGTGCTTGGGTTTTTTTCTCCATTTCTTCATTCTTTTGTTTGAAGTTTTCTTCCAGTTCTTTTTGTTTTATGGCCAAGTCCAATATTACTACTATACAATTCTTAATGTTTTTATAATCTTTGCTAAGTTCATTCCAATCTTGTTCTCGTTGACTTGTCTTACCAGTTTCGAAAAAATCCTTACTTTCTTTTAGTATAGATAAATCCAATTTCAGAAGGTTTTCAAATTTAACTGTATCAAAAGTCATTAACAGACTTTTTTCAACTATATTTGGAGTTAAATTTTTGACTTTTTCGGTTAACTCTTTTAACTTTTCATTATTTTTAGTTTGTTCTTCCTGTGTTTTGGATAATTCTTCTTCTAATCTATCTATTTCCAAAGCACCTTGGTATAATAACTTTCTTTGGTATTCTAAATCCTTTTCCATTTGCTTAATTTGTTCGGCTGTTAATTCAGTTTGAGTTCCCATTTCAGCAGTAGGAGGTTTTTTCAAAGCCTGTTCTAATTTGCTTTCTCAATCTTGGTCTTTTTTAGTAAGGATATTTAAGTATTCTTGGTGCTTGGTTTTTTCTTTTTTTTGGAAATCCTTAATGGTTTGTTCTAGTTGATTTTCTTTTTGGGTGAGTTGGAGTTTGAGATTATCTCGTTCTTTGATGATTTGTTGTTTTTCTCCTTGAAGTTTAGTTATTTCATTGTTTAATTCTTTTCAATTGTCTGGCAAGTCATTGGGTTTTTGATTAGCCAGCAAATTGTTATAATCAGTTAAAGTTGGTCGTTTACTTCAATCGTTCTCCCAATCACTTTTAGAAATAGGGATGTCGGGTCTTTTTTCCAAATCAGTGATACGAGCCAACTCAGTTCTCCAATTATCAGGAAGGTCAACTGGTTTTATTTCAGCATTTTCAAATTTAGCTTTCCAGTTGTCTCTACTTGCCTTTTCTACTTCCAACTCTGCTTTTAATTGATTTATTAGAACAATGTATTTAGAGACATTTGGAATAGCAGGAACAACTAATAATTCTTTATTTCAAATATTTTGGTCATAAAGAGGGTATTTTTTACCATCTCGAATTACATAGGTAGTTTTCACCATATTATTCTTTTTTTTCTTTTTCCTCATAAATATCTCAACAAGATTTGCATATCGGACGACACTCTTTGAAATCAGAAACTTCTCGATAACCCCCCAAATTTTCCCCATCTCAACCCATCTTTTGATTTTTGTTATCAATTCTGATAAATATTCTACAATGATAACAATTTTGAGTTCTAATTCAAGGTCGTTTTCTAAATTGATACCTATAAACAAAAGGCTCCTTAGCAATTCCTACTAACTTTAATAATCAAAAAATAATAGGTCAAATGAATACCCAACAAATTAAAGCAAACATAAACCACACTATTATATAACTTGATAACTCAATAGGCTCTTTTGATGAATTAGTTCGTTTAATAAAATAGGAAACTAGAACAATAAGAGTGGGTAAACCTAGCACAAAAGGTCGTTGAAATCATTTATTCCATCAATTTTCTCACCTAGTGTGTCTGTCAACATCTTTATTATGTTCAATTAAACACCAATTGCATTGAACTCATTGGTCAGAATGACCAGTGCCTCGACTAACTCCATAGTGATGATAACCAGCATAACTTCTTGTGGAACTGTAATGAACCTTATCTCCTTTGTAGATGGGAAAATTACAAGTTTGACAAGTATTTATCTTTGTTCTCTCTCTCTCTCTCTACACTAGAAATTCTTTCGGTATTAGTGCTTTTCATACATTTCATTATATTATATTAGTATTTTTAGAAAATTTTTCAACATCACACAACACAAGCAAAAACAAATTTTTATTATTTATAATTAGTCTTAACACCTATTAAATAATATAAAATTGTATATATTACATCACACACTAATGACCAGCACAATAATACTGCAACCCCATCAAATAATTAAACTCGAAGAAAGATTTACCCATCAAGAAATTGGTGGTATTTTTGGAGTTAATAAAAAGACTATCCAAAGATGGAAATATTCCAATAGTAAACCAAAACAAAAAAGAGGAGTTGAAGAAAAAATAGTCGGCATTGTTAAAGATAAATTACTTTCTTTTACTGCTTATCGTTCCCAAGATAACACTCTAACTCAGCAAGAGATGGCTAATCGTATTCAAGAGGAGGAGAAAATTGTAATCAGCCAGCAAACAATTTCTCGGTTCTTGATTAAAGAAAAGAGAACTTGAAAGAAAATTACTCCACACTATCAAGAACTAAAAATTAGTAAGGTTAGGCAATTTGGACAAATTATTCATGATTTGCCCCTCAGAAAGTTCTCTGCCATTGATGAATGCCATTTCTATTTAAATGAGGCTCCGAGATATGGTTATGCTCCGATTGGTCAAAAAGTAATTTCTCCTGCTCCTGGTAGCAAGGGAGGAAGTTATTCTTTAATTATTTGGATTAAGAATGAAAAAGGTAAGGGAGTGATTAACTGAGAACTAACGGATGAGACGGTTAACACCCAACTTTTTTATAATTTCCTTGAAAAGGTTAAGTCTTTGGGTGAAGAAGGAGACTATTTAGTAATGGATAATGCCTCTTTTCACCGAGCCCCTGACAAAAGGAAAGAACTGGGTTTACCCAGTATTGAGGAACAATTATCCTTAAAAAATTCTCAATTATTTTCCTTACCCTCTCGTTCTCCTCAGCTTAATCCTGTTGAACTACTTTTTAACAACATTAGACATAATATTGAAAAGGCAAGAGCCTGAACTCCTGAACAATTAAGAGAAGCAATTAGTAAGGAGATGACAAGAATAAACCAAGAAGATTTAAACAAGTATTTTGAAAAGAGTTTGCAATATAATCTAGTAAAATTAATTAACAGACATTTTTTTCTTTCCCTACAATCCCAACCATATACGACTAGGCTTTCAGGTCTCATCTGTCTATATAATAATTTTATATCAAGTTGAGATATGGTGGGTGGATATAAAGTAAAAAATGTTATATATAGTATTATGAGCCAAGAAATCAAATGCAGCAAAAATAATCCTTGCCAAACTTGCCAGGAGGAATTACAACGAAAACTCCGAGATTGTAAAGACTGGGAAATAAAAAGAAAAGAATATTTAAAAAGTTGATTTCCTTATCATGACGAGGATGGCAATTATGTTAAATATTCAGAAACAGGAGGTTATAATCTCTGTTCTTGTGGATTTGAGAAATCTAATAGTCATGGTGATATAAATTCTAATAAGCATGATTGTTCTAATAAAAATAACGACCCAGTAGAGAGAGAGAGAGAGAGAGAGACGATTTTGAACTATTTCAAGTCTCACAATATTAAATCTGCTAAATTAGAGAATGACAAATTAATAATTGAATACAACAATAATCAGCAAACAGAAACCAAGGATATAAATGATGCTGAATTACAACAAATTAAATCCTTTTCTCAAAAAATAGGCAAGAATGAACTATCTATTAGTGATTTAGAAAATACGAATACTGGCTCTCCTAGCAAAAATAAAGGCAATAATTGTTGGTCTTGGATATTAGGAATTGGGGGAGTGTTAGGAGTGATAATTATTGGCTGATTATTATTGAGAAATAAGGAGGAAAAAGCAATTGAATAGTTATGCTCGATTTAATTGTAATTCTTATTATTTTAGGTTTGATAATTGCCTTTTGAGTTGCCGTTTACAAGTTCTTTTTCGGAAAATATTGTCGATATTGTAAAAAGGAATTGTTAACTGTGAGTGAAAAATGGAATAGAGTTTGTGTAGAATGTGAGAAAAAGAAAATAAATAACTAATTTTCCTCTCTACATTCTTTACACTTCCCCGCTCTTTCTTCTTGGATAGGGATAGATTTATTACATTGAATACAATTATAAGTTTCAGTCATAATAAGTTTTAGTCGAAGTCCTCAGGTTTTTCAGGCTCATTATCTCCTGGGTCTCTATCCCCACTATCAGGAGTAGCATCAGGGTCAGTTGTCGGATCAGTATCTGGCACAGGTTCAGGCTCGGGTATTTCAGGTTCGGGAACATCAGGTTCGGTTGGAATATCTGGTTCTTGGTCGGGAGTAATATCAGGCTCAATAACTATTTCAGGTTCCCCTCCTGTGGGGTCTATATCAGGAGTAGGCATATCAGGTTCGGGTTCTCTATTTTCGGACCCTGGTTCAGGTTCAGGCATGGTTGGATCGGACAAAGGGATTTCAGTGTCTCCCCCTGCTCCTGGGGGTGGAGTTCAATCGAGATTATCAAAATTATCGTGTCCTGGTTGTTTTTGAATAACAATTTTGGTTCGGTCTTGTTCTTTAAAAATAAATTGAGTTTCGGTGATAGTCACAGTATATTCTACTCCTGCTTTTAAGTCTAAATCCTTAATTTCACTAGAACTGACATCTAATTTTAATAACACGGAGCAATTAGCCGAGGGAGTAAATTTGGTTTGGACGAAATTGTGTTTTTTTAATTCATCATAAGTGCAACCCCAACAAAAACCTTGACTGGAACTATAATGGAGGCCACCAGCATTACAACCACTAGAACTAACCACAGCATTTTTAAAATCATCCATGACACTTGAATTAGTTAAACGGATAAAAGTGGAGTGGGAATATCCTCTTTGGCTGGCTGTATAGGGGATATTAATTGTAATTCCTTCTCCTGGTTCGACAATGGTTTGGGCTGTGTAATTTTCTCCTCCTGTTCCTGAATATTTAATTTGGTCGGCTATCTCTTTAACTCCTAATTT